CTTGTAAGTTTACAGTGTAAAGTCAAAATATAATCAACCATTGTAAAAAAATTCTTACATTTCTCGTAGCAACATGTAATGCCGTGGTGCCATTACGAGAACCGTTGATATCAGCGCCTGCTGCAAGAGCCCGTAGCAGACCTAGCACGTCACCGCACCTGGCCGCCTCACTGATAAACATCCAGTCTGTTGACTCAGCTGAAAGTATCCACTGCCAACAGTTCGAACACACAAAAATTTGCGTAATGTACCTGCTTCGATCTTGGAAAGATTGGAGTCAGATCCACAGGATGATAACCTATTTGATCGTAGCCCTAAATAACACTAATAACCTGAAGCAAAAATAACAGGTGAAGATAAGTTAACAATTAAGCCCAAATGAGACAGGGCACAGAATCACGAAGAATTACCATTTACTTGCTCTTTGCTAGTCTCAGCTTGATGAGAAGCCTCACCATCCAAAGCGCAGTAGGAGCTCGAACGTTGAACTAAAGTAGGATGAATTACATAAACAGTTCAAGCAAACTTGCACTTGTAAATAATGGAAAACTACTCATTAGTTTTACTCCAGGAAAAACATTGGTGAATGCTATGATGTTATTGAAGATCATATGCACAACTCCACTACATACGGACTCGTGCTAGGAGCGGACCTCAGCGGACATGTGAGAGAAAGAGAAGGAGCCGAGAAACGTCATGGAGGCCACAAATAACGCATTTCAAAATTCGCCTTAACTCATAATCTGGCCCTGGCGTCGAGGACGTCAGATATACCGGATCAAGAAGAAAGGCGGAATCTACAAATTATGAGAATCTACAAACTTTTTCCATATCAACACAATTTTGATAGGACGTTAAAGGCAGTGTCCGGGCAAAATTTCGAACAGAGTTTTTTGCATACCTGGGCCTATCCTTCCCCCTAAACCCGAAAACGCAACTTTGTAAGAAAATGTCGAAAACGGACTTTTCCAGAAGTCCCTGGTTTGAATTCCGACGCTTGCCGCCGAGGTTAAGAC